CTATCTCCTTCCCTCTCACTGCTGCCCTCCATACCTTCTTCAACACTTACTGACTCCACCCGTTGGCTCCTTCTTTTGCCCCAACCCTACACTGGCCAGGGACCCTCTCTGGTACCTCCAAGTCAGTAGTATATACCCTCTACTTTGGCATTGTTCCCATTCTCCAACTCCTGAATGTGCAAATTACATCTACAGCACTCTTCACTCCACAGATACACATGCACAGAAGTCCTGGAACCAGCATTTCCCAGAGGTACCTACCATGAAGACAGAACTTCTAAGTCCTCTGCCCAAACCAAGCTCCCAAGGCTGATCTGAATGGCCTTATGGGTTTCTCTATCCACCCTCTCCCTCTTAACTCTGAATAATGGGATGAAGGTAGAAAGACAGTTTTTTGTTTTTGTTTTTTAAAAGATTTTTTAATTTTAGTTGTAGATGGACACAATACCTTTATTTATTTATTTACTTTTATGTGGTGTTGAGTATCAAACCAAGTACCAAGTGCCCCACACGTGCGAGGCAAGTGCTCTACCATTGAGCCACAACCCCAGCCCTAAGACACAGTTTCTTAAGAGTTGGGCTAGTAATCCCAGCCACTAGGGAGGCTAATACAGGAGGATCCCGACTTTAAAACCAGCCTTAGCAATTTAGCAAGGCCCTAGGCAACTCAGCCAGACCCCGTCTCTAAATAAAATACAAAAAAGGGCTGGGGATGTGGCTCAATAGTTAAGTGCCCCTAAGTTCAAAAAAAAAAAAAAAAAAAAGAAAGAAAGGAGTTGGGCTAGGAGGAGCAGGTCCTCAGAGATGTACTGCCCAATAAGGTAGCCATAAGTTACATGTGGCCATTTAAGCGTAAATTAAATAAAATATCACATCAGCCACATTTCAAGGGCTCAAAAGTCACAAGTGGCTTGAGGCGACAGAACAGGACAGTATAGATTACAGAAAACCATCACTGCACAAAATTCTATTGCATAGTCCTGTTCTATTCACTTCCTGGTAAAAAAACAGGAATTGCTGCTGAATCTGCAAGCTGACAACCAGAGCTCAGTCCAAGGTCACACCCAACTCTTGAGGTGCTGGTCAGTCAGCCAGTCTGTCTCTCTATCTCAGGGCAGCAAGAGAAAGCCCAATTCAAGCCAACTGTTCTGGAAAGCCAACAGCCAAGGGCAAGTATTTGTGTCAAGTTAATCACCTATGGAGAGCCTCCATTTGACTGAGAGCCTCCATTTGACTGTTGAAGAAGAAAGAGGTCAAAGGAGGACAAAGTAGCCATACACTACCCTGCTGAGAGCATAGAGATACCACAGAGCACCAATCACACAGCCTTGAACTGCTCACCTGCTCCTCAGCTTGGAATTTCTGGAAGAATGTCAAAAGAGGTTCAAATACAATACAGCAAAGTATGCCCAGGCTGGATATCCTCCTAGCTGGAAACCCTGGCTCTTGTAGAACTTGGACATCAAAGCACCCAGGCCAGTGCTTTCAGACTCTGCTCTAATTACTCCCCAGTGCTTGTCGTCAAACCCTATGGAGCATCTCTCCATTGTCACCTCTGTGCCCCTGAATGTTCCCACCTATGAAGGCTCTCCTGGAACACTCTCATTTTCCAGCTCCTTCAACATACTCTCCCTCCTGCTCACTCTTGGGCTCAGTTCAAGTTCCAAGCTGCCTTTCCATGAAATTTTCCTGACTCCACCTGGCTTTCCTAGGCAATGAGCCCCAGCAGTACAGTCTAACATTGTATGCCATCTTTCCACCTGTCCAGCAGGGCTAGCTGATCACAGGACACTTTCTCAAGCAGTGCTGTGTCCTGTACGGACCCTTCCCCCAGGAGGACCTATATAGGCTGGAACCCAGAGACCCCACTTCCCATCCAAGATCTTGGCATCCCTGCACCTCTGAGCCTCTTGCCTTACCCCCCTCAAAAACCAGTCCTGTTGAGTGAGCTGACAAGGAAGTGCTTTGCAAAATACAGAGCCATGACCTATTACTATAGAGCTTTATGCTGAATAATATATGGAAACAGTGCAACCCCTAATCTTTTCTCTCTTCACCTGCCCCCATCTCAAGACTCTGATTCATCCATAATACCACTAAATTAGGATTTTACAGTCTGGTGTGGGGTGAGAAGATAAAACTGTGAGAAACCAAACAATGCTGAAATCCTGAGGCCTCCAGCAAAATCAGGCTCGGAGAACTCAAGAGGAGCTTGCCACTGGGTGCTAGGGGACTAGCAAGAAGTAATCCCCATAGGACAAATAGGTACAGACCAAGAAAGAGTTTAACCCTGGAGTCTTTTGTCACATCAAAGGACTTAACTAAAATCGTAGAGCACTTCCTTTCTAAAGGAGAAGACTCCTGGGAGCTTATCTGCTGGCAGCAGACAGTTCATACTTCCTTTTCAGTCTCCTCACTTACGTATTCTGTAAGAAGACACTATGGGGTGGAAAACTAACTCAAAGTAATTTAGATGCTTGCCTATCTTTTCCCCCACACATTTACCCTAATAAAAAGCCATTCAAGGGCTGGGGATATATTTCAGTGGAAGAACATTTGCCTGGTATATGGTTCAATCCCCAGCAACAACAACAACAAAAAAGTCACCCAAGAACTGAGGGGATTAAATATGACAGCAAAAGCACAGAAAGCACAGACAACAAAATCGTAACAGACAAACTGGACTCCATCAAGAAAAAAAACAAAAACAACTTTTGTGTACCAAAGGACATTACCATGAGAATAAAAAGACAACCCAAAGAATGGGAAAATATATTAGCAAATTCTCAATGTAATTATTAAAAGTTTAACATACCAAACACATAAACATCTCAACTACAACTAAGCAACAAAAAGACAACTCAATTAAAAACATGGTCCAGGGCAAGGGATGTAGCCCAGTGATATAGTGCTTGCCTAGCATGAATGAGGCCCAGGGTTCAATCCCCAGAACCTCCCCCACTGCCCCCATACTCATGCACAAAAGGAATTAGATTATTTTAATTAACACACATAACAACATGGATAAACCCTGAAGACACTTATGCTAAGTGAAAAAATACTGTTTGATTCAACCTATTGGATACTAAGAGTAATCAAAATCATAAAGACAATGGTGATTGCTAGAGGTTGAAAGGAAGGAGGGATGATGAGTTACTGTTTAACGTGTGGAGTTTCTGTTGGAATGATGAAAACGTTATGCAAATAGATTGAAGATTGGTTACATTAATGCCACTGAATGGTACACTTAAAATAACCAAAATTATAAACTTTTTTTTTTTTCAGTGCTGAGGATCAAACCCAGTGCCTCACACGTGTCAGACAAGCCCTCTGCCACTGAGCTAAAACCCTAGCCCTCATGTAGTCTTTTTTTTTTAAAGCATTTTTTTTTGAGAGGGGGAGAGAGAATTTTTTAATATTTATTTTTTTAGTTTTCAGCGGACACAACATCTTTGTTTGTATGTGGTGCTGAGGATCGAACCCGGGCCGCAGGCATGCCAGGTGAGCGTTCTACCACTTGAGCCACACCCCCAGCCCCCTCATGTAGTCTTTAAATGCAGGAAAAAAATTAACAAGCCTTTTTCCATCCCATTGAGAATTCCTCTTTAAGGGCCAGTTCTGAGGGCCTGGTACATCTTTTCCATGGCAATGTGCTCTGAGAATGCCATTGTGCCCCTCGTATTCAGACCTCAAACCAGGTCCCAATAACCTGAGCCCTAAATCAAACAAACAGCCCCTGTAGACTATGCAACTGTTTGAAAGGCTGTGTCTTGAGCTTCTTGGGCCAGTCTGTTTAGGGGACAACTGTCTGATGGGTTCCATGGACTGCCAACAAAAGCAGAAGCCAATCTGGCTAGCTTTCACTCTCTATTACTTCCTCTTTCGCTTTCCCACAGGACACAGACAGCTATACAGAAAGAAAAAAGAGGCCCCACTGGCAGCCAGCTTGGTTTTGTTTTAAGTTGGAAAGTTGAGTCCTTGTTTTCCCCCAGGCAGATTTCGATATTTAAAATTCTTTGTACTTAGAGTAAAAGACAAAGTTTTTTGCCCATACAACAAGTGAACCAACAACCCTTACACTCTATAATCTCTCGAGCCCTTTCATACAGATTATCCCATTAGATCGCAAAACAACCCAGTGAGAATGAAAAGAGGATGTTTTCCCCCACTGCAGACATGAAAAAAACCCGGCCTCGGATCTGAAGCAATCTGTTCCAAGCCCCACAGCCTCAAGTGACAGGGCCCACGCCTGCACACAAGCAGTGAACTTCAAAGTTTTCCTACCTCTCCACTACTTTGGAAAGTAGTAGAAATAAATTCAGACCATTTTCGTGGCAAAGGAAAACACAGGAAACGCTTCTGAATCTGGCTCTTTCCCTGCAGTCCACCCTTTTACCTTTTTTTTTTTTTTTTTTTTGGTACCAGCGATTGAACTCAGGAGCACCCAACCACTGAGCCACAGCCCCCAGACCTATTTTGTATTTTATTTAGAGACAAGGTCTCACTGAGTTGCTTAGCAACTCGCCATTGCTGAGACTGACTCTGAACTCGCGATCCTCCTGCCTCAGCCTCCCAAGATGCTGGGATTACAGGCGTGCGATACGGCTCCTGACATCTTTTCCTCGGGATTTTTGCACTCAACGTCTCCTGCGGCCCTGTTCAAGGTGCGCAGAAGTGTCTACCTAATGCAAGAACTCCCGCGTGCGGGTGAAAGGTAGGCCCGGTCAGGGAAAAATCATGCCTAACCCAACAACCGACTGAAACTTGCAGCTACCGAACAACCACCGGCAGGTAGGAGTTACAGCGGACGCTACACACAGCCCAGCTGCCTTCACACCCGCCCCGGAACTGCCCAGCACGGGGGTGGTACAGTCTCCCCCACGCATGCGCCAGTATCCGCGCAGGCGCGCCTCCCAGCTGCGGTCCCCTAGTCCCCAGCTCTTCCGTGTGGACCCCGGACTCGGGCTGCCTCGACTACAGCCTCATTCCACGACCCTCACCTTGCGTCCTGTTTTCTCCCGTAGGGCCTTGAGCCGTTCCTTCCGCTTCAGCGCCTCTTCCTCTAGGCGGCCCACACCGGCCGCAGCAGCCGCCATCCTGCCTTCGACCCCTCCTTTCTCCCTACGTCACGCAGGTCGGGAAGTGCATAAAAGTCTCACGGCCAAACCGAGAACGAGAATGGGAGACAGGAAACCCCAAGAACCAATCAGTGTTGACTTGTTGCAGGAGGGCCCGCCCTCTCGCCTCGCCGCGCCAGCGAGGAGCAGGCAAAAAAAAAAAAAAAGGTCCTGGGGTGTTAAGGCTCGATGTGTCTACCGCTACACAGTGAGAAAGCATCGAGTCAGACCTGAGAGAATAGATTGCATCGATCGCTCTGGTCTCACCTAAGCACTAAACACACCTCATTCACTCCCTGCGGGCCTCTTGTAATACCCCAGCCATCCTTTCAAGAAAGCTTCCTTAACTTTCTACCCCGATCCCTCTCTAACAGGAGTCTTCCTATCCCTCCTCTAGAGCTGTCTATGGCTCGCCCGATCAAGTGCGTCTAAACTCTCCTGTCTGTTCTCAGTTCGAAGCTGGCACAGTGCTGAACCCGACTATGTGTTTTTTTTCCCCTTCTGGATTCACAGGTGATTTCCTCTCATCCCCACTTCTTCTGGAGCGGCAAAGTACTCAGGATCGCGCTACCGTCTCTGAAGAAAAGCAAACGCCAACCTGGGCCAAATGAGCCCAAAGGAACAGTTCCCCAACTCCAGTTAGGAAGAATTGCTTTGGCCTTGAGTGCAACAGGTGGTCACAAGATGCATGGCACCCTAGCTGCCAGGGTCTTTTCTGCATCAATCAGAGCGCGTTAATAACAGAACACCTGGGCTGAAGTCGAGTTCTTCTGTCTGGAGTCTCCAAAGTCACACCCACGCCCCTTCCCAGAGAACAACTAGCCTTTAAGGCTGTTCCCTGCCTGGGACCTCCCAGGCTATCTACAAATGGACACTCACTCCTCCCCTTCCAACCCACTTCAGAGGCCCAAATGCCACAGACCTCCGATCCAGCTCAGTTGCCCTCTTGACCTCACTAACCTGGTTCTCTCTAGGCTCTCTCCCCCACTGCAGGTGACATGTCCCGCCAGGCACCAGCTCATGGGTTGTAAGTGCTCAGGAAATGTCAACTCAGAACCAGGATGGATGGGGCAGAAGAAAAGGACAGACTGAAGGGGCCAAACAAGAAGCCAAAGAAGACAAAAACAGTACAGGGATGGGGAAAAGGTTTGTCTTCTTTTGGACACCCAAGGTCTAGGGATCAGTCAATCCTAGGAACCATGGCACCTCTCTGGGGCTGGGAAATTTCCTCCCAGTTCCAACAAGGGGCCTGACCCTTGCTCAACATCAGGGTCCCCCTCAGTTCATAGGCAGGCTAGGGACAGGGAAAGGGACACAGGAGTGATGATGACAATGGCCTAGCAATCAATTAGGCTTAGGTCCTAGGTCCCTATCCCTGTGATCCTCATTTGGCCTTAGTTTCTCCACTTGTAAACCAGTCATGAGTCACCCACCTCATGAGGTTAAAGGTGAAAAAGATGATTGATTGCAGAATAATCCCTGTAATCCCAGCGATTTAGGAGACTGAGACAAGAGGATGAGGCCAGCCTTAGCAATTTAGAGACCTACTGTCTCAAAATATAAACAAATGAACAAACAAACAAACAAATAAGGCTGGGGATGTAGCTCAGTGATAGAGCATTCCTGGATTCAATCCCCAGTACCTTCCCCCTACCCCCAAAGTGCAAAGGATGTAAAGGAAGTGCTGGGCTCTGGTTTGGGGAGTGCCTCCACTGGAGCATCTGGGAAGGCTTCCTAGAGGAGGGAGGGAACTCATGGGGATCATCAAAACCACTCAGGGATCAGCCCAACGGAAGGGCACCACTCTCCTGGGGGTATTTCAGGCTCCTCCTGCTGTTTGCTCCCGGATCCTCCCGCTCCACACAAAGCAGGAGCTCAAAAGTTGTATTTAGATCTTCCCATAAAGAGCTTATAACAGCATCTTGCACGTGGTCACTACAAGTGGTCATCAAGGAGGTGGTTATTGTTATTTGTTGAATGACCCTGGCAGTTCCCTCACTGCCCATAGCCCCTTCCTTGAATGGCGGTAATTCCAAACTAGGCGGGATGCTTAGCGGGCGAACTCAGACCCAAAGCAAGCCTGGTAGCCCCGCTGTCTGCCCTGATCCGGAAGGTTCAGAACGACCCTTCCAGTGGCGCCGGTGGGGTGCGGCCTGCGAGGGCGGGGCAGCGGGGCGACTCCTGGGCCGCCCTGACCTCAGGCTCCTCCTCTCGCCGGCCTCCCCGCCCTTTGCACGGTCCCGGGAGAGGCGGGGTGGCGGTGTCCGCGGAGGCGGCGGCGCTGGCGGCAGCAAAGTGCAGGAAACCGGGTGGCGGCCGTCCGGGATGAGGTGGAGGAGGAGCTGTAGACTTAGAGGCTGAGAGCGGCAAGGGCCGGAGCCGCGGACTTCCCCCAGCAGTCCCGCGCCGCTCCGCCCAGGAGTGACGCCCTCCGCCCATGGGCCTGGCCGGAGGCAACCGGCGGGCGGCGCGGAGGAGGCGGCGACAGGTGGCGCGCAGCAGGGGCAGAGCCAGGTCAGGCCATGGCCGCCTCGGAGCGGCTCTACGAATTGTGGCTGCTCTACTACGCGCAGGTGAGCCCGCCCCGCGCCCGCTGTGCCCCCAGCTCCGCGCACCCGGTGCCTGCTGCACCTGCGCCCGGCTCTGCCTGGGCCGCGAACACGCGCGCGCGCCGGGTGTGCTCCAGCCCAGCACACGTGTGTGCCGGGCCTCAGGCACTTATATCGAGGGACAGCGCTAGCGGCCGCCCACATCACAGTAAGCCCTCTGGTGGGCCAGACACATCCCCCTTTTATAGCTGGGGAAATTGAGGCCAGGAAAGAATAAGAGACTGGCCAGATCGAAAGAGGGAGGGGAACTCAGTTTGCATGTGGACTGCCTCGCCTGCCAGTGAAGCCGGGTGGGTTGGTCTTCTGAGTGGGCTGGGGGGGATCTTGGCAGGTGCAGTGGGGGAAGATGTGCTCCTACTACAGGTCTGACTTGAGTCACCTCAGACTCCCCTAGAGAAGTGGCAGTGGTGAGCTTCCCAGGCCTTGAGGTAGCCCCACCCCACTTCCATTCTGGGGTGGGAGGCTGGTGGAGAGGTTGAGGCCAGAGAGGATGTTTAAAAGGAATAGAGAGAAGCTCTTTCCCTCTGACCTTCCTCACTGGTTTCAGGAACTACCTAAGGTGGCCTCAGAATGTGATCAGAGTGACTCTGACCTGTTGTCCCCCAAACTCGGTCGCACACATAATCACCCACTTTTCCTTTGCATTTACAGCAGGGAGAGATGCCAGGGTACTGCCTCCCTGCACCTGCCAGGCATGTGCTTCTGGCTCAGGTGTGCCCTGGGCACAATGGACCATTGTATGCCCCTGAGCAGCTTCTCACTGGGGGGAAGTTCATGCTCAAATCACCTAGCCCTCTGTGAAAAGGCTAGCCAGTGGTCTCCCAGGGACCTAGAGTACAAGCCATAAGGACCACAGCTTCTTTGGTTCACTCAGGTTGTGAGAGGTCCAAGCCCCTGGCAGGAGGCAGTGCATGGAATAGAGTCTCTCTTGGTGTGACCCACACCAAGTTCTTTGCAATTCTAAGCCTCTACTTCCCTGTTTGTAGAATTGACAGAGCCCTGACCTCAGGGGCTGCCTGGACTTTGTAGAGGGGTAGCCCCTCAGACTGGTTCAGGCCAGAGTAGGCTTCTACTTTCCTGGCTCCAAGGGGTCCCCTTGCTCTAGCCTGAGGGAAACCTGCCCATAGCCTTCCTTTCTCCAATTGTCCTATGGCCTTGGGCTGGTTTGGGGTCCTCAAATGAAGGAGGCTTAAACCAGGTGATGAGTCTGAGGAATGTTAATGATGGATGGGTCTTCCAGCTGGGTGGCTGGCTGCTGGGGTGTCTTGGTAAAACTTCCAGGTCTGTACCTCCATCCAGTATGGTTGCCTCCAGATGCCCCTTCTATCTGAGGGGCATAGATGCATATGGTCACCCCCTATCCCCTCAGGAGGTGATTAGCCCTCATGTCTGTGCTGGGTCTCCCATCTCCCCCAGCTTCTCACCTTACAGGCCCAGGCTGCCTGGTGGTAGTCTAGGAAGCCTGGGCAGGCAGGGGGCAGCTTGGGGCCAGGCAAACAAATCCAGGATGTGTGAGCTTACCCGGGAGCTGGGTGGGGCCAGGCAGCCTGGAGAGAGGAAGCCTGGCCAGGCTCCCCCAATGCCTTCCTGCCTGACTGCTCCTGCTCCAGGAACATGGTTCCACCCCTCTGTGCTGGGCTCCCAGGAAGGGATAGCACTGCCCTGCAACTTTGAACCCTGCTAGGGAACCTATTGTGTGTGTGCTTGGGGAAGGGAGAGTGTAAGGTAAGGTGTGAATCTGATGGAGGGTGTTAAGAGACCCTCTATCAGTCAGCCACCACCCAGCCAGCAACACCTGCGCCCTCTCCCTTCAGCAGTGAGAGCTGACACCAGCTGGCAAACCTGTTTCCCCAGTTGTGGGTCTGGGTGAGGACAGAGCGGGGAGTGCCCCTCTTCCTGCCCTTCCTCTTCCCTTAAGGACCCTAAGTTTAGACCCGCCTCCCCTCACTTCTGTGGGCCCTGCTCTTCTGAGACTGAAGGAGAGAGGGGGGAGGACCAAAGTGACCCTAGACCTCACATAGTTGGAGCTCCTCAAGGCCCTGGTGGGGAATCCAAGGTCATCAGAAAAGTTCCTGAAGAGGTTTAGTCTGTGGGTAGGAAACCCCAGGTGGATCTTCACCTGGGACACCATAGGCCGTTTCCACATTGGGGTCTTTTTTAACTCTCATTATGCCTGGTACCCCACTGCTTTCCAGCTCCTATATGTGGTAGGTGCTTCTGACTGTTAGCTGAATGACCAGATGAAGGGGTAGGCCCCATGGTAGTGATCAATCAAGGAAGTCATCCTAGAGAAGGCTTTCTTCGGGGGCTTTTGGGATGGAAGGGACAGGAATAGCAGGAACAAGCACATGGCAATGAAAATGCAAGCAGCAAGTTGTCGGGAATGGGGTCATGGCAGAGGTGACCCAGGAGGCCTGGTGGATAGGTGGGAGCATATCCAGGGATTCCCCAGGGAGGGCACAGCTTGAAGAGTGTGAGAGGACTAGGGGATTGGGATAGCACCTGACAGGCTGGCAGTTGGGCAGCATGTAAAAGTTAATGCAGAATAGAATGCAAATAAGCAGTCCCTTTTAAGGCCGAACAGTAATGAATATTGTTCAACAGCCCCCAACCCCTAGTGAAAGGGTTTAGGGACACTCAGGATCACAAAGATCAGGATGGGACAAACACTCAGGTTACAGGTGGGGAGCCCAGGCTAAATTTCCCAGTTACACCATTGAGGACTCAAAGGGTTGGAGGAAGTCAGACCAGAGCTGGAGGTGACCTTGCCCTGCCCACCCTCCCCTGAGTCCCTTATCCCTGGCCCATGAACTCTACTGCCTCATGGAAATCTAACCAGGGCCTCTGCTCCCTCTAGGTCCTTAACTGGTTCCTATTTCTTCCTATGCCTCAGTTTACCTTCTTGAAATAGGCAAAGGGGTAGCATGAAAGTCTCCGAGGTGCTTGGTTCCCTTACACCTCAGAGGGGAAATGAGTTTCTTCCTTCCAGCCTCTATTTCCAAGGCAACTGAAGGGAGAGGGACGGAAGTGATAGGGAAATTACCACAGAGCCCAGGGTTGGGGGAGGGGCTGGTAATCCCTGGTGTTGTTATGACATCTGGGGAGCTGATGGGAGAGTGTGAGGTCCCCATGGAAACAGGGTCAGTTACTATGGGGACCCTGGAAGGAAGTTCCCAGTTTCCATAGTGATGAGACAAGGGGATGGTTAAACTTCCTGAAGGGTGTTATGGAGACCAGAAGGCCCACCCTTCCCCTCTGTTTAGTATCCTTTTTCCAGGTAAGGGCTAGAGACTGACTCACTACCCAGAATTGGAACCATCCTCAGTTGTCTCTGTCCCTGTCAAAAGGTCCATCTTCCTGTTTCAGCTCATGGTCTGAGGTCCTCCAGGTCTGACTTCCAGAAGCCACCTTTGGCTTGACATTGGCCTCCTCCTCTTGATGCTACATGGGGGATTCCCTACCTTAAGAGGCCATCCTGAACAGAACCCACCACACCTGTCTCATTTCTGCTCTTCTGTCTCTGGAGATAGGGTGCTACCCATCATTGAACTGCAATTTACCCTACCTATTCTGAGCTCTTCCCTGAGGTCCATCAACATACTCCACCTCACCTGCGTAGGGCAACAAATTGGGGAGCAGCCCAGAAGACCTCAACTCTGTCAATGAGCCAAGGTCTGCCTCTTGATCGCACTCTCAGAGGGAAGTGGGCAGGGTTGCTTTGGAATGCCAGGAACTTGGGCAGGCCAGAGTCCTTGGATTGGAGCTCCCATCACGTCACCCTCACCTTGATCCTGGGTGGATATGGCTGCCCACTGAGCAAAGGGGTCATTTTTAAAAAGTACTAAAGGGCCAGACATGATGGTGCACTTCTGTAATCCCAGCTCCTTGGGAGGCTGAAACAGAAGGATACCAAGTTCGAGGCCAGTCTGGACAACTGAGTGACACCTTGTCTCAAAGTAGATAAATAAATAAAAAGGGCAGGGGATGTAGCTCAGTGGTAGAGCACCCTGGGTTCAATCCCCAGGACTGCAAAAAATAGATAAATAAACAGGCAGTGGAGGCTCAGAGGTTGACATTAACAAGCTGCTAACCACTATTCTGTTGGTAACCCCAACCTCTGAAGTAAAGCACATGTAGTACTGTAAGGGTGGGAATAGCCAGTAATGCTCTTGGGCCGGAACATGCAGCAGGTCTGGGGTGCCAAGGCTGGAGAGGCTGGGGACTTGCTCTAAATATGGAGCTGGAGCCAGGGGGATGACTGGCTGATTGGGCAGGGTGACTGATGTCTACTAGAGGCCCTCTGCATGCTGGGCCTTTAGTAGCCCCACCCATGCCTCCATGCCACAGCAGCCTGCCCTCAGGCCTCCCAAGTTACCTCAAGAGTTCCAGGAGACTGGCAGTTCCCTGATCACCCAATACTATTTGAGCCTCCCAAGCTCTCAAGAGCCCCTCACTCCCAGAACTCTCTGCATGTGCTCAGGGCTAGTTGGGCATGTGTCACTGCTTAGCAGATTAAGATCTTTATAGGGGTGATCATTAGTACTTGTCCTCTCCCATACCTATAGCCTTCTCCCCTGCCACAGGGCCCTGGCACCATTTAATTCCTGGGCTCAAGGGCCCTGAGGTGCTCTTAAGCAGGTGTTCTTCCTCACCTGCCCCCCAGGGGTTGAGGCCCTAGCCTAGTCCTGTTGGGTAAGAGGCTGATCTAGCCCTATACCTGTTCATGCTCTGAGCAAGAAAGGGTAGGAAGAGCCAATGGGGCATAAACCCATTGAAGAAGGGCCTGGGGAGCCCAAGCACACAGCCACCCTTTTCAGGCTCTGGACGCCCTCACCTGCAGCACTCCTAGCATGCTGTGCCCCCTTGGCCTGCTCTGTCTCTGGTCCTGGCTCTGCAGGGATTCCCATACCCTCAAGCATTACAGCCTCAAGCCCAGATCAGAGTTGGCCTGAGGCATCCCAGGAAGAAAAGGTGGGAACTAGAGAAGTGAGTTAGGCAGCTGCCCTCTTTACTGCCCAGTTCTACATGTTAGAGACCTCTTCGTGCCCCCTCCAGAGCCCATGAAGGCTGCCTTGAGCACCCTAGCTCTGAACCCATACCAGTTCTCACCTACTGGAAGTTTACAGGACTGGACAAGCTTGGAGGGTGTGGTTCCAAGGGACAGAAAACAGGAGTGTGCAGAGGCAAGAGACCCACCCAGGTCTGGGAAGGCCAATCCAGGAGATGACCCTGAGGAAGGTGGGCGGTTTCTGCTTAAGTACTAAAAGCCCAAGTCACAGTGGCTGTTGAGTGTGGGGTGGGCAAGCCCTGGACAGGAAGATATAAGTCACAGAGGAGAAGCAGCAGAGAGGGTGGAGAAGCAGGCCCTGGGCTCACTAGGGGCCTGGCATGCCAGGCTTAGAGTCAAGCCTTTATACTGTGGGTGGGGTGCAGGGTGGAATTTAGGCTTTCAGGTGCTCAGCTCAGCTCAGCTGTCACTGACAAAAGGCCCATATTCTGGACCAGAGATGACTAGTTTGATTGGGATGGTTTGGAGTAGAAATGACAGTATGGGGACATTTTTGAAGGCAGACGAGGGTCTAGGAAGCCACAGAGGTAGGGGTCATATGGTCAGCTTGTGCAGGCTGCCTAGTCACCAAGAGTAGACCTAGCCTAGAACCAAGGCCCAGCTTTCAGCATCTTCAGAGGTGCAGTTGAAACTAAGGTGGTGGATCTCCTCTGTGCTTCCTATTTTCCTACCTGTGATGAGAGGATTCAGAAGGGATGGTCCAGGAGTCCTGGCCTCTGGTGTTTCAGGATCTGGGCATTTTGTCTCCTTGCTGGTTGGCGGGGAGGGAGGGAGGCTGTCAGCAACAGAGAGTGAAGAGGTCAACAATTAATTGACCGACAAAAAAGGTCACAGTGTTGGGCAGAGTCCAGGTGGTGTAGCCAGGGCATTTGAGGGGTTAAAAGTATGGGTGAGTTCCTCATATGGTCCCTGGGCCTTAGGACCAGGTCATAATGGTATGGGTCTGCTCCTGGTGGCCATGGTCCTCCCTAAGTTGTCATAGCTTTGGATTGGTGCACAAGAGTGCACAAGGAAGGTGCCCAACTGCAGAGTGGCTGGCTGTTCGATCTCAGTTTTTTGTGGGCCTGCTCCAGGTCTGCTGTGGGTCATGCAGGCCTATCTGTATGGTATGGGGGCCACAGGGAGCAAAACCCAGCAATTCATCAAAAGTGTGAGGTCCATGACTCCTGAGAACAGTTTCAGGCCGGCTGGGTACCGATGTGTATCTGGCCCCTTCCTCCCTGTCCAGTCCAGTCCTTGCCCTGCCTTTCTGACTCTAGGAAAGGAGGTTGCTTTTTGGGCTCAACTGGGGCCAGCAGGGGGAAGGAGGGGCTCAGGTACAGGTGCCCACCCATATCCATCCCTGAGCATTTCTGGGTGTGGATTCAGATTAGGGCTAGGCTATGATTTACTCATCTGTCCCCTGAGGAGAGAAACCTGCAGAGTCCAGGTGGTGTAGCCAGGGCATTTAAGGGGGTTAAAAGTACGGGTGAATTCCTCATATGGTCTCTGGGCCTTAGGACCTGGTCAGGGAGATGTTGGTGCCTTGAATGAAGGGCATACTAAAATCAGGGAAGAACCCGCTTCCAGATAGGAGCTCTTCCAAGCCACACCTCACAGACCTCACAAAACTGTCTCTGGCCTGCAAGCTCCACCCAAGGCAGGTGGCCCCACCCCTTTGTGCTTCAGGTCCCACCCCCAGAGCCTGCCAGGTCTCTTGCTGGGCCTAGGGTGCCCTGGCCCCCCCACATCCCTGCGGTCTGCTGGGAGGAAGCGGCCCCCTTCCCCCACCGTGACTTTGCGCTTCCTGCCCCAGCCGGGGCGGGAGGATCCGTTTCCCGTTCACACCAAAGTTTCCCTGGTGGCGCCCAGACTTGGGCTCAAGTGCTGCCCCTTTTGCTCATGGAACAAGCTCTGGGGCCCGGGGTCCAGGTAACCCAGAGGGTGGGTAGAGGACCCGGGCAATGGTTGGAGCTGTGGCAAGGATGCTGATCTGTCGGTGGGGGTGTGCCTGTGCCTAGGTGCCTGTTCAACAGTGCACCTGCGTCCTGGCATCCACAGTCCAGGAGGGTTTCCTGGAAGTGGTGGCTGTGGAGCTGGGAGAAGGTGGCAGGAGAGGACCCAGCCCAAGGCTGAGTAAGAGACATGCATGGGAGACCTTTTTCAGCACCAGCACTGCCACAGCCACACCCCACTTAAGCCCCTCCCCTGCCTGTGTCAGGCCAGGCAGGGTCTTCCAGGGGTAGAGCAGAGACCGGGAGGGAGGGCTGAGAGAAACAAATGGGGTCTTGGAAGAGTGGTTAATTGTACCGAAGTCCTCTGATGCTGACCTTGTCCTTCCTTTTCCCCTCAACCTCACTCCCTTTCTCCACCCCTACTGCTCTGCCTGTAATCCCCGTACATCCCCCCGTGTCCACTTCCTTGACCTCATCCCTCCCCTGTCCACTGCTCGCATTTGCCACCCACCATGCCCTGCCTGAACTCCTGCCTGCAGAAGGACCTGGGCTACTTGCAGCAATGGCTGAAGGCCTTTGTGGGAGCCTTTGAGAAGAGCATCTCACTGTCCTCCCTGGAACCACGAAGGTGAGGACAGGGTCAGGACAGGGAGGTTGAGGGGTCTGGCCACCTCAGTGACACTCCTTCCCCACAGGCCAGAGGAAGCAGGGGCAGAAGTCCCCCTACTACCACTAGATGCCCTGCATGTGCTGGCCGAGCAGCTGGACCAGAGGGACCTGGAGCAAGCCCTGCTGTTGCTTAAGCTTTTCATCATTCTCTGCAGGTAGTCCCTCCCTGGTGTCCACCCCAAGTGGGCAGTGGCATGGGAGTGTGGGCCAGAGGGAGCGGGGGGTCATGTGCATCAGTGGACCTCTCCAATTCTTTCCACCCCAGGAATCTGGAAAATGTGGAGGCAGGCTGGGGCCAGGTGCTGGGGCCCCCAGTGCTGGTGCTGCTCACTGGGCTAGTGGCTGAGGTGAGATGGGCTCCCTGAGGTGGAATGGAGACAGGCAGTAGCTGTGGCTAGAGCAGAGTTAACCTCCCTCTATCCTCTCTCTCCCACACTGACAGCTCAAAGGACCCCCATCACCACAGGAGGGCCGTGGGACCCAGCTGGAGAATGTAGCCCTTCATGCCCTGCTCCTCTGTGAGGGTCTCTTTGACCCCTACCAGACCTGGCGACGCCAGCACAGTGGGTGAGACCCAGCCCTTAGGCAGGGGATGCGGAGAGGCTGGGAAAAGGATGGGGGCTTTTGGCTATGGCAGAGGTGTTCAGGTGGGAATGGGCCTGTGCATAGGCTGGTGGAGGATGACAGAGAAGGGGTGAGAGCCAGGCGAAGGGACCCAAGCGTCTGACCTCACCTCCTGTTCCTCCAGAGAAATCATCAGCTTCAAGGAGAAGAGCAAATACAAGTTCCCTCCTGCGGCTTTGCCCTGTGAATTCAGCGCCTTCTTCCAAGGTCAGGCCCCACCCCTGCCCCACTTAGCCTTGCCCCCAAACCCAGGCCCCTTCCTGCAGTTCCCTAACCCCAGATAGGACAGGAACTACTCAGGGGTAGCTACAGGCAGGCCTGGGAAACCCACAGGCATTTGAGTGGGCCTCCAGAGGCCAAGTAGGAGTTCAGGGTTGAAAGAGGACATGCCTGAGCAAAGTGTCTTTCCTTGGTTGGAATCAGTGGGGGTTGACTTGCCCCTGGATTTCCCATCCTCCTTTCTCTTCTGGACCCTTCTGTGTCCTTTCAGCCACTTATACCCTGACTCTGGATCACCAGAACATTCCCTAGCCCGGTCCCTTTGTCCCTGTAGCCTTTTCCCATTCTCTACCCCTGCTCAAGATGGGGCCACACTAGCCGTTTCCACCTTTTAGAGGAGCTGGTGCCCAGGATACCTCCAGCCACCCATTCTCCCTGGTAACCTCCTCTCCTGGGTCCCCTCTCATTTCTTTGCATTGGAGGGAGACTGGCAGGGACTTGAGATGGGCTCAGAATGTAAAGTGACCTGGACAGAGCAGACAGGGCTATGAGAAGGTGGTGACCTTTTCGGGTTTTAAGTATTTTCTCTGTGCTGCCTGTGGAGCTGTGGACCAGGATCTGGAGTGGGGTGCTGCAGGTCCAGGAGGGAAGGTGTCCTGACAGAGTTCCCTGCAGCCGTTTTCCCACACACTCTGCTTTTTTTTTTTTTTTTTTGGTACCGGGGATTGAACCCAGGGGCACTCAACCACTGAGCCACATTCCCAGCCCTATTGTAATTTTTTATTTAGAAACAGGGTCTCACTGAATTGCTTAGGGACTTGTTAAATTGCAGAGGCTGGCTTTGAACTCGCCATCCTCCTGTCTCAATGAGTCACTGGAATTACAGGCGTGCACCATCGGCCCAGCTCCCCACAGCCTTTCTTTCCATCCCTTCTCCCTCTCTGCTCTCCAGCCCTACTCCTGTCACCTCATCCCTAGACTGTACCCAGTTACGCCACCTCAGGATCTTTGCCCACCCTGTGGTCTCTTCCTTCACTGGCCAACTGCATTCTCAGGCCTTGCCTCAAAAGCTCTGTCCCCAGTGGGGCATAGTGGTGAATGCCTATAATCCCAGCAATCTGGGAGGCTGAGGTAGAAGGATGGCAAGGTGAGGCCAGCCTCAGCAATTTAGTGAGGCACTAAGCAACTTAGCAAAATCCTGTCTCAAAATAAAAAATAAAATTGGCTGTGGATGTAGCTCAGTGTATAGTACCCCTGGGTTCAATGCCCAGTACTCCCCAAAAAGAAGCTCTGACCCCAGGGAGACTTCCACCATATCCCACCTGAATCATGCCCAGCCCCCACACTACCATGTGACCCAGGGCTGATCCCTTCTGCTATCTGATTTTGGTGCACAGCCTGGCATCCTGTCCAGTTTTGGTGGAGCTGGGCCAGGTGGGCCTCCCATATACAAGACTGTGAAAGCCCCTAGAAGTCCCCAGTGGGGATAAGGTGGGGGGAGGGGGAGTCATCCATATAGTAGATACTTTAGGGTCCCTAAAACAGGGCCTGGGAAGTTCTGCCTGTCACAGGGATGGAAGGAGCAGGAGATTTGCACCTGAGAAATTGAACCCTAGGTCACACAGGGAAGCAGAGGGGTTATATGATCACCCTGGGGACCCTATTTGGGGTTTAATGATCTGGAGAGTTGACTAGCCACTCCAGCAGGACTGTATGCCTTCCAAGAAATGCTATGTCTCTCCCAGCCCCCCTGGCATGGAGCCATGACTTTTTTGAGCCCCTAGAACAAAGCGAAATCTCCTATTTTTTTTTAATATTTATTTTTTAGTTGTAGTTGGACACAATGCCTTTATTTCACTTATTTATTTATATGTGGTGCTGAGGATCGAACCCAGGGTCCCTCACATGCCAGGCGAGCGCTGTACCATTGAGCCACAACCCCAGCCCCGAAATCTCCTTCTAAATGGGGCTCTTGCTTGCTCCAGCTCCTACCCCATCACCCCTTGCCAGGACACCCATCTCTTGTGCAGTCCCCTGGCCCACAGCCCTGCAACTATGGTGACATTGTCCTGTCCTGCCCACCTCAGAGAGCCTGCAGGATGCAGACCACTTGCCTCCTAAGCTGCTTTTGCGGCTCATCCACCTCTTTGGCGCTGTCCTTGCAGGAGGAAAGGTAGGCCGGGAGATGAGCTTATGGGCCGGGGGTGGCTGTCTTGGCCTCACTGCTCTGTGGGCCCCTGCTCACTGCCCATCTCTGCCTTCACCTGCAGGAGAACGGGCAGATGGTTGTGAGTGCCGGCTCAGTGCAGGGCCTGCTGAGTGTTGTTCATGGCTGCAGCAATGGGCCAGCCCGGGACCCCCGCCTAGTGCGACTGGCGCTGGAGGCACTGGTGGGTGCTGTACATGTCCTGCATGCCAGCCGCACACCGCCCCGAGGGCCAGAGCTCCGTGCCCTGCTGGAGGGCTACTTTCGTGTCCTTAATGCTGGCTGGCCTGCTAGTTCAAACTCAGGCTCCGAAGAGGCCCTTGTAACCCTGCGGGTCAACATGCTCGGTGCGTATGGGCTCCCAAGCTCGTGGAGAGGGCGGCAAGAGGGGAAGGCCCACGTGATGATGGAAAGGCTGGACTGGGTAGCATGGGGGAGAAAGTTTAAATTTGCTTGGAGGAGTTGGGTAGGGCCTGACCTTGACCTTTGAACAGATGCCATCCCCATGATGCTGGCCTGTGAGGATCGGCCAGTGCTGCAGGCTACCTTCCTCAGCAACAATTGCTTTGAGCACCTCATTCGCCTGATCCAGAACAGCAAGGTAGGGGGCGCCCAGACTGGGGGTGGAGGGGCTGGAACCCAGAGGCAGGGGAATTGTGGAGGTGCCAGGTTGCTGCTAAGGCCTGTACTCAGTGGGAGGGACTGGGCATGGACAAGCCTGTCCTTCTGGGCCGTACAGGGCTGGGTCTGAAGTTCAGGATGGCTCTGTATCACACAGAAGGGGAGTGTAATGGGAAAGAGGGGAGTGTTACATGGGCTAGAGTGGGATCAGTTGCCTTTGGATATAGTGTCTGTCCTATTCATCTTCCCTTGCCTCTGCTCATTAGAGCAGGGCATGGTGGCTCAGTCCCACTCTTCCCTAGTGCCTAGGGGGACACTTTGCTTGGGATTCAGGGTGTCATTTCCCTCTGGGGCATAGCCCTGGCAGCTGCCCCAGTCCTGCTCTAACCCTACCTCTCCCATCTTCCTCCTCTTTTCTCCTTTGCCTCTTCCACCCTCCTCCGCACAGCTGTACCTGCAGGCCCGGGCGCCCCCTGAGGGGGACAGTGACCTGGCTACCTGGTTACTGACCGAGCCCGATGTCCAGAAGGTACCACCCTGGGACTGACTAGCTGAGGGACCACTGCCCTGGGCTCCCTCTTGACCCTTTCCTGTGCTACAGCAGGGTGGCAAATAGACGTATATGAGGCCTAGCAGAGGGGGTGGATCCCCTATGTTGTCTCACCCTCTTCCAAGCCACCTGCTGGAGGTTAGAGCAGGATATGGCATATTACCCACTTGGTATTAGAATTGGGAGCTGGGGTGTGGCTATGCCAAGCTGGAAGGAACCTTCGAAACTCTCAACCACCCACCCTGATTTCTCAGAAGGGCAAACAGAAGCCCCAGTGCTTAGGGATTTGACTGTAGTCTTCACAGAAGAGGAGGTCCCCCATAGAAGCCACTTCTTTCTGTGGATCCTTATACCCACCCTAAACAGGGCACTGGGTGTTCTCTAGCTTCTTATGATATGTTCCAACCCTCATTTTGCATGAGGGCTACAAGAAGCTGGGATTACAGAGCTGCACCACCATGCCCACCATCATTTATTTATCTCTCTATTTATTTATTTATTGTGGTGCTGGAGGTTGAATTCAAGGCCTTGCACATGCTGGGCAAGCATTCTGCCACAGAACTATATCTCCAGTACACCTCTCATGTATTCATATAGATATAGAAACAGGCCTGGAAAGGGAAAGAATGTTGTCTGAGATCATTCCTAGCAGATTATTTTGTTTGATTGTGTTGGTGGTACTAGGGATTGAACTCAGGGCTTTGCATATCCTAAGCAAGTGCACTACCACTGAGCTCCATTCCCTGAGATCACACTTGGGAAATTGGGCAGATCTGGGACCAAAGGACCCTCCAGGGCCAGAATATGGTTTAGCATTTGCTGACAAACTCTCTAAGCCCTCTCAACTCAGAAGTGGGGCAAGGGGAGTGAGTAGTATGCCTCTTTGGCTCTCAGATTCAGCCAGTTTGAGCCAGTATCCCCACCTGGGTCTAGGAGACAGGGGACCGGGTAGGATTTAAAGGTCTCGAAGGTTCTCCTGGTTCTGACATTCTGTGATTGATTGTTCCTTTATTCCCAACCCCCTTCAATCATCATGGGTAATGGGGCACTTGCTGGCCTGCTTGCATATGCGTGTCTAGGTTGGGTGGGGATGTGTGGAGGCTGGGGCCCCTAAGACTACCAGGGAACAGGAAGAGGAGTGCAGAGAAAATGTCCCAGTTAGGCCCTTCCCAACCTTGTTTTCTTCCTAGCTTCTGTCAGAGCAGGTCTTGCTGAGCTGCTCAAAGAGGGCCCAGGTTCAAGGTAGGGTCACAACAGCAGGGTTAAATAGAGGGCCTGGTTCCCAGCCAGGGTCACTGATCCAACACATGCTATGTATCTGGGGGTGCCTAGCCCTGCACCCTTTTACTGCAGGGTGCTGCCAGCCGTGACACCCTGACTACTGCCTCTGCTGACTGCCCCTCCCCATCCCAAGGTACTGGATCAGGATACAGATGCCATCGCAGTCCATGTAGTCAGAGTGTTGACCTGTATCATGAGTGGCTCCCCCTCAGCCAAGGTAAGGATGCTTCAGCCCAGCTGCAGTCAAGGTACCAGATACAGTTAAGTGACTACATGTCCCCAGAACAGATCTGCTCCCTGGAGCAAAGTAAATGAGCTGAGAAGATTCTGCCTGGCCTTTGGGCGAGCTTAGCTCACTAGGCAGGTATGGTCATCAGTCTGCCCTGGGAGTTGGACATTCTGGGTCAGGGCTGGATGGGGAAAAGGATTCTTGTGGGCTGACCACCATCTGCAGGCTTCTGAGATGGTTCTATGCTTCCCAATCCCTCTTCTGCCCCTTGTCCCAGACAACATAGTGACCAGGCAGAGCCAGGCAAGGGAGCCCTGACAGTGCCCCTAGAAGGGTGTGTTCATTCTGGGGCCTGTGTGTATGCTCACTTCCTTCCTATATTGCGCTCCGCAGGAGGTGTTCAAGGAACGCATTGGCTACCTGCACCTGCAGGAGGTCCTGCAGAGCCACGGGCCCCCCACCCATCAGTTGTTGCAAGAGCTGCTTAACATGGTAAGGGCAGGGCTTGGATCCAGAGTCCCAAAGGCAGCCAGGACTGAGTCACAAATGGGGAGGTCTCCACCCTGGAGGACTGTTGACTATAGTTGGTACACTGTATGACTTGTGGCCCAGCTATGCTCATCAGTGTCCCTGGGGTAAGGATTCTGGACTGTGGGGCCCTGGAAGTTGCTGCATGTTGGCCGGCCCCAGGATGGTCCTAGGAATGTGCAGGTTGGGGCTCCGCCTACCCAGGGTACAAACTGAGGCTTGGAGGTTGACAGTGCTGAAGGATTGCTGTTAGTGGTCTTTGTCATCTGTGTACCCATGACTATGAGCAGGATGGTGTAGCACATGTGGCTTATTCATGCTGTAGGCAATTGAGACAGGAAGTCCCACACTTGGCAGGGTGCCACAGTTGACCAGCGACTGTCACATTCTCTCTACCCACAGGCTGTGGAGGGTGACCACACCATATGCCCGCCTCTACCAATCCGCAATGAGCAACCGTTGCTGGTGCTGATGCAATGGCTGCCATCACTGCCCACAGCTGAACTGCGGCTCTTTCTAGCTCAACGCCTCTGGTGGCTCTGTAACAGCTGTGCTGCCAGCCGTGCCACCTGTGTGCAGGCAGGCCTGGTGGGCTACCTGCTAGAGACACTCAACACAGGAATAGCCCTGGAGGCCCGGTGCCAGGAGCAACTGTTGGCGCTGCTACAAGCACTGGGCCGTGTGTCAATAAGGCCCTTGGAGCTACGTCGCCTGCTACGTCCCCCATCAGAGCTGGACTCAGGGCCAGGTGGAGCTGAGGCTGGGAAGGCTCGACATGCAGGTGCCATCATTCGAGCCCTCTCAGGCATGGCCCGGCACCAGGGTCCTGCACGTGCACTGTGCTACTTTGACCTCACACCCAGCATGGCAGGCATCATGGTGCCCTCTGTACAGCGATGGCCAGGACCTGCCTTTACCTTCCATGCCTGGCTCTGTCTACACCCCTCGGATGCAGTGCCTGCCCCAGCTCCCACTCGGCCACTCCAGCGAAAGCAGCTGTACAGGTGGGTGACTACCACGGGCCAGGACCCATTGCCAAGGTGAGCTGGAAGACATGGGTGTAACCAACTTGCCTGCCCCCAGCTTTTTCACCAGCAGCGGCTCAGGATTTGAGGCCTTCTTCACGGCAGCTGGGACCCTGGTGGTGGCTGTGTGCACACGGAAGGAGTACTTGACCATGAGCTTGCCCGAAGTGTCCTTCGCCGACTCTACCTGGGTGAGTCCCCACCCTTTTCACATGGCCCAATGGGGAGGGGGATACCAAGTCCCAAATGTGGCTTGACATTTTGGCTTCTGTTCTAGCATTGTATCACCATCATCCATGTGCCTGGGCGCCGACCCTTCAGCCAGAACCTGGTCCATGTCTACAAAGATGGCCATCTGGTCAAAACAGCACCCCTTCGCTGCCCCTCCCTCAGTGAGGTGTGCCAGGCAGGGTTTGGGGAAGCCTTGGGCCCGTGAGGGAACCCAGAGTGCTGTGGATGGGGTGGAGCCTAGAGCCTTGTGTGTCCTCCACTCTGCCTCCTTCTCGGCCTCAGACTTCAGCTTCTGGGATCTGTGTAGTCTTGGGGGTCACTGTGAGAATCTGGATGTAGTTGGAGCCTCAGGCTTTGCTGTGACCTGACCAGTCCCCCAACCCTGGCCCCGCAGCCTTTCTCCTCCTGTTGTATCGGCTCTGCTGGGCACCGCACAACGACCACCACCACGGGGCTTCCCACGCCACCAGTCCATGCTGCCCTGGCTCATGCTCACCCCTCCCTCACCCGCTCCCAGTCCGTCCCAGCCTCCGTAGCGCTGGGCTGGGGGTCCGGGCTGGTGGCCCCCCTGCAGGAGGGCAGCATCAGCTCCACCCTTGCAGGCACCCAGGACACTCGATGGGGCAGCCCCACATCCCTGGAGGGTGAGCTGGGGGCTGTGGCCATCTTCCATGAAGCGCTGCAGGCAGCCACCCTGAGAGTCCTGTGTGCTCTAGGTAGGTAGCTCTTTCTGCCTGGTCCCAGCCCCTGTCCTGTTGTCCCGAGTCCAAGTCCAGGGATCAGTGGGGCTAGGGCACAGAAGGTTTCTCTGGGGGTCTGTCTTCTGGTTGGGCAGGGAAGAGGCAGGCTCTGGATGTAGTTTGGCCAGAGGCCCAGTGAGGTCTGAAGACTTTCCCTTGCTCCTCAGGGCCCAATGAGCCGGCCCCCTTCAAGCCTGAGGGTGATCTACACGAGCTGGGCGCCAAGTTGCTCCTCCATTACTCACCTCAGGTATTTGGGGTGGTTGGCTCAACAGTGTTACCTTCCCTTGGTTCCTTCCCTCTGTCTGTCACCCCTTCCTCTATCTGACCCTTGCCACCTGCTCATCTGCTCTTCCAGGCCTGTAAGAATAACATCTGTCTGGACCTGTCCCCTAGCCATGCGCTGGATGGCCGCTTGACAGGCCACAGGGTGCAGACATGGGATGTGAAGGTGCGTGTGCATGTGTGGGCAGTGTGTGCAACAAGCAGGAGTGGGGCCCAGCGTTAAAAGATGTTCTGGGGAGCAGCTCTGGGCCTTGGCAGGATTTGGGGAAACTGACTCAGGCGAGCTGGTTGGGATCCAGGCTCCCAGGCTGGATGGTGGGGTGGAGCAGGGCAGGACTCTCTCACTGCTGTCCCCTCTCCCAGGATGTGGTGAACTGTATTGGGGGCATGGGTGCCTTGCTACCCCTGCTGGAGCAAGTGGCTCTGCAGCCCCAAGAGGCTGAGGCAGGTCCAGCCGAAACATATGACCTACTGGGGCCTGAACTGACCTCTGGTCACAACACTCAAGGCCTGCTTCTCCCTCTGGGCAAGTCTTCAGGTAAGCATCCTTGGGGCCTGGCTTGCGGGAGAGAATCTGGCACAATAAAGACTTGGAGCTTGAGGTCTCATGGTCACTGGTAGGTCCTTGACCCACATCTGTTTCCTCCTTGGTGGCCGGCAGAGGAGCGGATGGAGAAGAACCCAGTGGCAGCCTTTCTGCTGATGCTGAGGAACTTCTTGCAGGCCCACACTGTGAACCAGGAGAGCTTGGTGCAGTGCCAGGGGCCTGCCATCATCGGGGCCCTCCTGCGCAAGGTGAGGCCTGGTGGGGCAGGTGGGGTGTGTCTGCCTGTCTGAACAAAGGAGCTGGGTGAGGGACCAAAAGGCAGAACTTCCTGAAAGAGTGGCATTTGAGTGGAGCCCAAACGGCTGGGTGGGGTTAGGCTGAGAGGATATGGGGAAAGGGCAGCCCAGGCTGGGGCTGGACAGTGCACAGCAGGCTGGGAGCTGCACTACAGCCAGGGGACACTGGAGAGTTTTGAGCAGGGATGGTCGTGTTGATGTCCATCACGCTTGTGCTGGGAAGGGTGGAACCTCAGTGGCTGGGACAGCAGGCAGGCAAAGCTTGACATCTTAGGCCAATTCCTTCTCCCACCCCAGGTCCCCAGCTGGGCCATGGACATGAATGTGCTCATGTCTGCCCAGCTACTGATGGAGCAGGTGGCATCTGAGAACAGTGGGCCTCTCCTGTACCTGCTCTATCAGCATTTGCTCTTCAACTTTCACCCCTGGACTCTCAGTGACTTTGCTGTGCGCCTTGGTAGGTATGGGAACCTGGGTGAGTGGTCAGTGACAGGGCAGGTGGGAGATAAGAAGTTATATAACCCTTACATGTATGAAAACATCACAGTGGATTCCACCATCATGGTCATCCACCAGAATGGGGTCTGAACTAGAATAAGATATATTCCACGCTTATATAATTATATCAAAATGGATTCTACTGTCACGTATAACTAAAAAGAACCAATAAAACAAAGAAGTTATAACCATGTCTGGGTGATCTGAGGGGACATAAGTTCTGGCAGGGGCATGGCTCTGTCCTGGAGAATCTCAAAGGACCCACTGTTGACGCCCACTCAGGCCACATTCAGTACATGTCCAGCATCATCCGTGAGCACAGACAGAAATTGCGGAAGAAGTATGGGGTCCAGTTCATCCTCGACGCTCTGCGCACCCACTACAGGTGAGGCTGTTGGGACCAGGTAGACAGTAGGGGTCCCACATTGCAGCCTCTAGCTCTGGGGACAGGACAGTGTGCTACCTCAGCTCACCTACTCACTCTGACATTCCGGACCTGCCAGCCCGCAGCGGGAGCGCCCCCTTGCGGCTGATGACCTGCGCACAGTGCAAACCTCCCTCCTGGGCCTGGCGCGGGAGTTCCTGGTACGCAGCTTCTCTGCTGAGGATGTGCATGTCCTACTGAATTTTTTGGCAGCTGTGGGTGATGATGGCCAGGTAGGCTGAAGGTTGGTGAGGCTGAGGCTTTGGGTAAGGGTGGTGTGTGGACCATGTGAGAGGCCCAGACCAGAGTGAGACTTTGTACCCCCAAGGTGATAGGCGCACTGGATCTGCTGCTGGCCCTGCTTCAGGGCTCCCCAGCACAGGAGTCTTTGGCTGTCTTCCTATTGGAGCCAGGGAACCTTGAGGTGCTGCTGGCACTGCTGGTGCGACCAAGGTCACTGCCCCTGCTGCCTGACCGAGTGTGCAAGGTATACCCACCCCACCCCGAATCCTGGCTGGGGTCCTGGGAAACCTGTGCCATTGGGTAAAGCTGCCTTCACAGGCTTCTCCTGGAGCCACACACCTGCACAGTGACTTACTCTACTATGGTAAGTCCTTTCCTATGATAACAGCCCCCAACGGTCCCCACACAGATCCTGCGCAGACTGCAGCAGAATGAGCGGTTACCTGAGAAGAGCCGCCAGCGACTGCGATTGCAGGAGAGTGGTCTGCAGGGCCTCATTGCCTGCCTGCCAGAGGGAACCATCTGCCCCCAGCTCTGCCAAGGCCTCTATAAGCTATTACTGGGGGCAGGTATGATCTGATTGGGACTGAGAGGCGGGGCAGGTGGAGGGGGTGATGTGTACCGGGAAAACAGGGCTTGGTGGGAAGAGGGAGGGTCAGTATAGGGACCAGGACTGAGGGCAACCCCTCTTGCTGGAGTCAGTCCCTCAGGCCCCTCTGACCATCCCTCCAGATAGCCTGAACCTCTCAGATCTATTAGCTGTGGTACAGCTGTCCCTCCAAGCTGACCTCAGTGTCCGTCTGGATATCTGTCGCCAGGTGAGTAAGAGGTAAAAACTTGTGGGCAGAGGGGTGGCTTTCACCCTCTGGATCTCGTTTTACCTATCTATCATACCGGGTTTCTGGAGGCCTCACTACAAAGGCCTGGGAACAGGGGCCTAGGGGCAGATGGTCAAATGACCTAACTTTCTGTGTCCTGGCCCTGCAGCTCTTCCACCTCATCTATGGACAGCCAGATGTAGTGCGACTGCTGGCCCGACAAGCCGGGTGGCAGGATGTCCTGACCCGGCTGTATGTCCTGGAAGCTGCCACAGCTGGTGGCCCCTCTCCCTTTCCCCCAGAGCTTCCTACCTCCCCGGAGCTAGCCCTGCCACTGCCACCCACTGAGTCACCTGCTGAGCCTGGGGATGTCTTCCTGCCATCGGAGGTCCCTTGCTCTGACTCTGATGCCTTTTATCATGCTCTTTCCCCATTCTCCACGCCCTTTGACCTGGGCCTGGAACGGGCCAGTGTGGGATCGAGCAACACTGCCGGTGGTGGCAGCAGCAGTGGGACAGTTACTCCAGCCAGCCAACCTGGCACACCTTCCCCACTGGATGGGCCACGGCCCTTCCCCACTGTCCCTGGCCGCCATAGCTCCAGTCTCTCCAATGTGCTGGAGGATGGCAGCCTCCCAGAGCCCACTGTCAGTGGGGATGACACCTCTAACACCAGCAACCCTCAGGTGAGGTGGGCCCACCTCTGCTGCCTTATGGGACCCCAGGAAGGGAACCTCTAGAATAGGGATATAGTGCAGCTTCTCCACAGGCACTGCCTGTCTGATAGCAGGGCTGTAACTGCCTGGTATGATGCCCAAAGCTGCCCCTTGTAGCTCTCCTTTGCAGCTGTGTCCCAAGGTGTTCTGGATCAGGGCAAGCCAGAGTAGGGGACACCAGCCAGGTTTTGGAGGGACCCTCAGGAGAGCCAAGTGCAACACAGCTACAAGGGTGCTGACTTGTGCTTCTGGATTTGGGGCTGAGCCTCAGGTCATCTGATAGAGTTCTTCCGGAGAATTCTAAGACAGGTCTTGAAGTGTGTGAATATCTAGTGATACCTTGGCTTCCTGGCCAGAATTCAGGCAGTAGCTGGGGCCCCTACACCATTCTCCAGACCCTTGGTGCTAGGCTAGCTGCTAGCTGAGTGTTCTGCCTCCTGCCATTCCCACTAGTGGGTAGACAAGGGATGCTGAGGTGGTTGGGGGTCATCGTGAGCCCTCTCCTCTTGCCCACTTTACCCTCCTGTGCCATAGCAAGCCCCCGAAGAGGAGCTGTGTAATCTGCTCACCAACGTGCTGTTCTCAGTGACGTGGCGGGGCGTGGAGGGCAGCGACGAGGCTGCCTGGAGGGAGCGTGGTCAGGTCTTCTCAGTGCTCACTCAGCTGGGGGCCTCGGCCACGCTTGTGCGCCCACCAGATTGCATCAAGCGCAGGTGAGAGGGCAACTTGGGCTGGCAGGGGGTCTTCTGGGCCCTGGGCCAAGGGAGGCAATCAGGTAAACACCCAAATCCCTTGCCTACTCCAGCCTCCTGGAGATGATGCTGGAGTCAGCTCTGACTGACATTAAGGAAGCTCCCCCTGGGTTCCTGGTCAGCCTCACCCAGCAAGCGCTCTGGCTACTGCGCCTGCTGCAGGACTTCCTGTGTGCTGAGGGCCATGGTAATCAGGAGCTATGGAGTGAGAAGGTATGACCACTCAAAGGGGTGTCGACCTGCCGGCTTCTGGTTTGGGAGGTAGATACTACATGAGGGTATCCCTGGTGCATTGGTGTGGAAGTCTGAGCGTGGTCTTGCCTGGTGCACAAACTTTAACTTGCACTCTCCCCTTGGATTGCTGATCTTATATGGTGACATCTATCTGGCATATGTTGTGTGTGACCAGGTGTGGTGGTACATGCCTGTAATCCCAGTAACTTAGGATGCTAAGACAGGAGGATTGCAAGTTTGAGCCTTGGTAGCTTAGTAAAATAAAAAAAATATAAAGGGACAGGGATGTAGTTAAGTGGTACAACTCACCTGGGTTCAATCCCTAATACCAATCCCACCAAAACCCCCAAACACGTGTGATAGCTCTTTGAAGGTGTGTGTAACCTGCTTGATCGCCTGGGAGCCTGGCCACACCTGGCCAACAGTGCAGCTGATCTTCGTGAGATGGCCCAGATTGGCCTTCGTCTTGTGCTTGGCTACATCCTGTTGGAGGACCCACAGGTGAGCATGGGCATGGGCAATGTGGGAAGGGTGGGTGACAGTGTGGAGAGCCCTGAGGGTAGCAGGGTGCCACCCTCACCACTGTTGTGCCTACAGCTGCATGCCCAAGCCTATGTGAAGCTGCACACCCTACTGCAGACTGCAGTGCCAGCCCGGCGTGAGGAGGCCTGCTATGTGCTCTCCAAGCTGGAGGCTGCCCTTGGCCGGGCACTGAACACCTCTTCTTCCGAGACAGCCAATGAGCCCGCATCTGCAGCCACTGCAGCCTCTGAGCGCTGCTCGTGGCTGGTGCCTCTGGTGCGCACGCTGCTGGACCGTGCCTATGAGCCACTGGGGCTGCAGTGGGGGCTACCCTCCCTGCCCCCCACCAATGGCAGCCCCACCTTCTTCGAGGACTTCCAGGCTTTTTGTGCCACTCCTGAATGGCGCCACTTCATCGACAAGCAGGTGCCTGGAGGTGGGGGACTCAGGGGTAGGAATGGGATCCAGGGCATACATCGAACACAGGTTTCTTCTCTGTGCCAATCTTGCAGGTGCAGCCCATCATGTCACAGTTTGAAATGGACACCTATGCCAAGAGCCATGACCTTATGTCAGGCTTCTGGAATGCCTGCTATGACACTCTCATGAGCAATGGGCAGCGGCGCCAGCGGGAGCGCACCCATAGTCGAAGAGCCTTCCAGGTGTGCTGCCCAGGCTTGGGGTGGGAAGTTGCCCTACGCATATGCCCAAGGGAGAACTGACAAGACAGGGTGGGGAAAATGGGGGCAGGTGAAACAGCAGTGGTGGGACGGAGCCGTTCCCACCCACAGGATCTGGTGCTGGAGCCTGTACAGCGGAGGGCACGCCTCGAGGGACTGCGCTATGTGGCAATGCTGAAGCAACAGGCAGCCCAGCACTCCACAGCCCTGCTGCACTGGGGGGCTTTGTGGCGCCAGCTCTCCAGCCCCTGTGGGGCCTGGGCACTAAGGTGGGCTAGGCTCAGGGTGGAGGGGCAGGGCTTGGTGGGGAGGGACCATCCTGGAGCCTTTGGTGTGGGGCCTGGGAGGGATGGGGGTCTACAGCCTTCTGCTCACCCATGACCACCATGGGATACATCTGCAGGAATCCCCCACCCCCTCACTGGAAGCTGTCCAGTGCTGAGACGTATTCACGCATGCGTCTAAAGCTGGTGCCCAACCATCACTTCGACCCTCACCTGGAAGCCAGTGCCCTACGCGACAATCTGGGTGAGAGTGCGCTGCATTGGGTCCACCATCTGTTTCCCTTCCTGCCTTGCTCTGGCTGAGTATGCTTGGCCTCTTGTAGGTGAGGCCCCCCTGACACCCACCGAGGAGGCCTCACTGCCTCTGGCAGTAACCAAAGAGGCCAAAGTCGGCATCCCAACAGAAGAGCTACAGGAAGACCAGCTAGGAGAGGATGAGTTGGCTGTGCTGGAGACCCTGTGAGTGGGTGGGCTGTGAGCTGGCCCAGAGTTCCTAGAGATGTGACTGGGTGGTGAGCAAGGCATCTGCTCCAGAGTGTACATGCCTGCTATAGGACAGACTCCTCGAGTCCATGTCCCCTTCTGCTCTCCAACTTTAGTTCCTTGAAGGATGGTCCAAAATCAGGATGGGAGCTTGGGAGAGTCATCTCCCAAGCTGATTTTTAATAGCAGGGCCACCCAGAGCAGGGCTGAGAAACATGAACGAGAGTGGGATGGGGCCCTGGGAGTGGTCAGGGGCTGTGGCAGGGGAAGCAGGGAATGGGGATTGATGTCCTGGCAAGATATTTAGAAGCCCTGGTGTGTGTAATGGTGGGGGGTGGGGTGGGGGGGTAAGCATAACAGTGGTCCTCTCTCCTTCTGGGAGGCACAAATATATGTACCTCATGTCTCTGCCACTTGGAGAGTGTGGCCCTTGGGCTAGTTGGGAAGGAGGAGCCAGAGCCTCCAGCTGAGGTGGGTGCTGGCCTCCAGGATGGAAGCAACAGAACTGGATGAGCAGCGAGAGAAGCTGGTGCTGTCGGCCGAGTGCCAGCTGGTCACCGTTGTGGCTGTGGTCCCAGGACTGCTGGAGGTCACCACACAGCATGTGTACTTCTATGATGGCAGTACTGAGCGTGTGGAAACCGAGGAGGGTGCGTCCTGATGGAGCAGGTTGTTGGGATGGCAGGGAATGGCCAATGCCAGACTCCCGTGCCTACGCCTGCTGTTGGTCCTGCAGGCATTGGCCATGATTTCCGGCGCCCTCTGGCCCAGCTGCGTGAGGTCCATCTGCGGCGCTTCAACTTGCGCCGTTCAGCGCTTGAACTGTTCTTCATCGATCAGTCCAACTACTTCCTCAACTTCCCGTGCAAGGTGGCTGGGACCTCAGCCTCATCACCTTGCCATCCTCCCAGGCCCCAGCCCTGCCCCATCCCACCTCATACCCAGGTTCGGAACCAAGTGTACTCGTGGCTCCTGCGTCTGCGGCCACCTACCCAAGGCTACCTAAGCAGCCGCTCCCCCCAGGAGATGCTGCGTGCCTCAGGCCTTACCCAGGTGTGAGCTCTGAGTGTGCTGTGTGATGGGGGGAAAGATGTGAGGTCAGGACCCTGAGAGTAAAGGGAGTGCCGGATAGCCCTGCAGCTCCCCTCTTGCCTTCCCCTGCTCCCTAGAAATGGGTACAGCGTGAGATATCCAACTTCGAATACTTGATGCAACTCAACACCATTGCGGGGCGCACGTACAACGACCTGTCTCAGTACCCTGTGGTGAGGGCCCTACTCTGCACTCCCCCATCCCTCAGGTCCAATAGCCCTGAGTGTAGGCACCTGCCAGTAGGCTGAGCTCTGAGCTTAGTCCTGAGTAGGTATGCCTCTGACCAAGACCTGGCCCCTGTTTCTTGCCAGCCCTCACATTCTCTAGTCCTCTCCCCATCCCACTTGGCCCCTGTTCTCCATGAAAGGAGTGTCTGTCATAGACAGTCTGCTCCCCTGTAGTCCTCCAAGTGGTACCCCAGCCTGCTGTGCTCATCTTCCTGAGGGGCAATGGCAGGGCAGGATGGGCAGACAAACCATCAGGGCCCTCATGCAGCTCCTTTCCCGGGTGGGCGGCCAGTTCCCCTGGGTCTTGCAGGACTATGTGTCCCCAACCCTGGACCTCAGCAACCCGGCCGTCTTCCGGGACCTGTCCAAACCCATCGGTGTGGTGAACCCCAAGCATGCCCAGCTCGTGAGGGAGAAGTGAGCATGTGGGCAGGGCAGGGCTCAGTGGGGTGGGAATGGGGAAGAGGAGAGTTTCTGATGAACACCCTCAACCTGTGGCCCCAGATATGAGAGCTTTGAGGACCCAGCTGGCACAATCGACAAGTTCCACTATGGCACCCACTACTCCAATGCAGCAGGCGTGATGCACTACCTCATCCGTGTGGAACCCTTCACCTCCCTGCACGTCCAGCTGCAGAGTGGCCGGTGCGCCAGGGCTGGTGGGGAGGCAGACAAAGGGAGGAGGCAGATCCTCTTGGCATCCTGGGCCTGCCTCTGTCCCCTTCTTCCCTGAGGCTACACCTCCTCTCTCCCTTCCCTCACCTCACCTTGGCCCATGCCCCTCTGCCAGCTTCGACTGCTCTGACCGGCAGTTCCACTCCGTGGCCGCAGCCTGGCAGGCACGCCTGGAGAGCCCTATGGATGTGAAGGAGCTCATCCCAGAGTTCTACTACTTTCCTGACTTCCTGGAAAATCAGAATGGTAGCACACAAGGCCCTGGCCCTGGCCCTGGGAGTGGGGTTCTGGGAATTGAGAACACAGACTAGGATGGTGAGGATGTGCAGGGATACAGCTGACCTGGTCTTCTGCCAGGCTTTGACCTCGGCTGTCTCCAGCTGACCAATGAGAAGGTGGGCGATGTGGTGCTGCCCCCATGGGCCAGCTCTCCTGAGGACTTCATCCAGCAGCACCGCCGGGCTCTGGTGAGGAGGTGACCACACATAGGCTGGTGGTGGCCGAGGTTGAGGGCCATGGTGGGATGTCAGCCATCCCTGGACTGACTGTCCATTCCCCTCACCAGGAGTCAGAGTATGTGTCTGCCCACCTACATGAATGGATCGACCTCATCTTTGGCTACAAGCAGCGGGGGCCAGCCGCTGAGGAGGCCCTCAATGTCTTCTATTACTGCACCTATGAGGGTGGGTAGCAGGTTACACACAAGTTGGGGCCGCACAGTGACAGCGGAATGAAGAGGCAGATCCTCTTGGCATCCTGTCCCCCTTCTTCCCTGAAGCTACACCTCCTACCTTCCTCCCCTCACCTCACCTTGGCCCGTGCCCCTCTGATAGTTTCGACTGTTCAAAGTAGTCCTGACTGCTCTAAGTAGTCCTGACTGCTCTGTCTCCCTCCTAGGGGCTGTAGACCTGGACCATGTGGCAGATGAGCGGGAACGGAAAGCTCTAGAGGGTATTATCAGCAACTTTGGACAGACTCCCTGTCAGTTGCTAAAGGTGAGATCAGATTGGGGGTGGGGGGACATGGTCAAAGATCCCATGCCATGGTATTAACCGGCCACTTGTCCACAGGAACCACACCCAGCCCGGCTCTCAGCTGAGGAAGCAGCTCATCGCCTTGCACGCCTGGACACTAACTCACCAAGCATCTTCCAGCACCTGGACCAGCTCAAGGCCTTCTTTGCAGAGGTAAGAAGAGGGTAGGGTCCCAGCTTCCCTTTGTGTGAAACAGATTTAACTCCAGTCCTTACCAACCTCTTGGGGCAGATAGGAATATTAAATTAATGATTTAATAGCACCTTAAAAAATGAACTGAATGTGGAAGGGGCCTGGGGGTAGGTGAGCATGCGTTCTTCCTTCCACTCCCAGTCCCTTTCAGAATTATCTGAAAGCCTCAGGGAAGTCAGAACAGAGGGAATCTGGCCTTTGACAGCATCCTCCTATGTTGCTTCCAGACATAGGTCTGTTTCTCTTTCCATCACTGGTCTAGGGGGACATGGAGCAATGGGGTGGGAAGACCAAGGTAGAGACCAAGCTTGATGCTTTGAAATCATCTTCTGTGCCATCCCCACTTCTCACTTATGTTCTGAGATGCCTGCCTGCCAGTCCCTCATGCCTGTTTCTTGGAGGGATCTCTGCATCTATGACACCTAGTCTGTGATCCCTGGGGACTGTGCGCAAGGGAGTAGGTTGTATAGTCAACTGGCACTTGGCACCACCACCAGCCCTGTGTTATTCTTTTCTCTTTTTTGGTGGTGCTGAGGATCGAACTCAGGTCCTCACATGTCTAGGCAAGCACTCTACCACTGAGCCACAGCCTCAGCCCACTTTTTTTTTTTTTTTTGGTGGTGCTGGGGATTGAATCCAGGGCCTTATGCATGTGAGGCAAGCACTCTACCAATTGAACTATATCCCCTGCACCTGCTCCTTTTTTCTTGGAACTGGTATTGGCATTTTACCACTGAGCTATATCCCCAGCCCTTTTTATTTATTTTCCACCAAATTTTTGTATTGAAGCATTACAGTTGTATGTAATGGTGGGATCTGTTTTACATATTAGTATATGCACACAATAAAACAATATAATTTGGCCAATATCACTCCCTAGCACTTTCTCCCTTCATCTTCTCCTTCCACCCCCAGCCCCTTTCCTCTATTCTACTGACCTCCTTTTGTTTTTCGTAAGATACCCCTAACACCCCACAATCTTGCTTTTCCTTTTTCTTCTCTAGCTTGCACATATGAGAGAAAACATATAACCCTTGACCTTCTGAGTTTGGCTTATTTCACGTAACGTGATGGTTTTAAGTTCTATAATTTTCCTACAAATTACATAATTTCAGTTTTCTTTATGGCTGCATAAAACTCGATTGTGTATACATACCACAACTTCTTTATCCATTCATCTGTTGATGGACACTTAGGCTGCTTCCACAGTTTGGTTACTGTGAATTGTGATGCTGTAAACATGGGTATGCATGTATCACTGTAGTACGATGACTTTAAATCTTTAGGATAAATACTGAGGAATTGTATAACTGGATCATATGGTGTTTCCATTCCTAGTCTTTGGAGGAACTCCCATATTGATTTCCATAATGGTTGTACTAATTTATAATCCCATGATCAGTGTAAAAGTATTCCTTTTTCTCCACATCTTCTCCCGCATTTATTATGGTTTATATAGTTTTTACTTTTTATTTTAAGACAGGGCTTACTAAGTTGCTGAGGTTGACCTTGAACTTGAGATCCTCCTGTCTCAGCCTCCCTAGTTAATGGGATTACAGGTGTGCACCACTACACCTGGTTTCTTTTTTCCTTTTTTATTTTCTCTCATCCTGCATTTTTTCCTGTAGGTTGTCAGTGATGGCATTCCCCTGGTGCTAGCCCTGGTCCCCCACCGGCAGCCCCACTCCTTCATCACCCAGGGCTCCCCAGACCTGTTGGTAAGTATTTTGGGCAGGGACAATGGTCGGGGCAGGGCCTCTCTGACTTTGCCCCCAAATCACTTTTGCCTTCTCCTACCTGCAGGTGACTGTGAGTGCCAATGGGCTGTTGGGCACCCACAACTGGTTGCCTTATGACCGAAACATAAACAACTACTTCAGCTTCAGCAAAGATCCCACCATGGGCAACCCCAAGTAGGACATAAGGCTGTGGGTGGAGGTGGGCTGTACTAATGCCCTGTACCATGAGTCATCTCCCCACCCAAGTAGGATGTAGACCAGCTGCAAAGGGGCAGTCTGGCCCAAATCCCTGAGGCCTGGGCTCACCTACCCACCTCCTCATTGGGTTAGGACACAGAGACTGCTGAGTGGCCCATGGGTGCCAGGCAGTGGAGTGAATGGGCAAGCACTGGCAGTGGCTCCTGATGGAAGACTGCTCTTCAGTGGTGGCTACTGGGATGGCAGCCTTCGAGTGACTGCACTACCCCGTGGCAAGCTGCTGAACCAGCTCAGCTGCCATCTTGGTATGAGTAGCCTAGGATCTGGGGAGAATAAGAGAAGCAAGTGTGGGGTGGGTTCTGAGGCTGGCCAGGGAAAGTGTGACTACTCTGTTTTGCCTATGTTCTCCCATTCCCATGCAGATATAGTGACCTGCCTTGCACTGGACACTTGTGGCATCTACCTCATCTCAGGCTCCAGGGATACCACGTGCATGGTGTGGCGGCTCCTGCAGCAGGTAGGCCTGTGGGCAGCCCTGTGCGACTCCTGTGGTCCAGACCTACACCCATCTGCTCTTCAGGGAGTTCTAGTGAACGTCCTTCTACTACTTGAGCAAGTCAGGGTACCATGATCCTACAGCTGGCCTTGGATAAGACCTTCATTTTCCTGAGCCTCAGCCTTCTCATCCAAGGGCCAGTCCTAAACCACCTGATTCCCCACAGGGTGGCCTTTCACCAAAGCCTGTGCAGGTCCTCTACGGGCATGAGGCTGCAGTGAGCTGTGTGGCCATCAGCACAGAACTTGACATGGCTGTGTCTGGATCTGAGGTATGTGTGTACGTGTGCTCCAGGGAGGCACATCTCCTAGAGTCCAGAAACCTAAGCCTTGCACCCTAAGCTGCCTTTCTGCAGGATGGAACTGTGATCATTCATACCATACGCCGGGGCCAGTTTGTGGCAGCACTACGACCTCCAGGTGCCACATTGCCTGGACCTGTGTCTCACCTGGCACTGGGGTCTGAAGGCCAGATTGTGGTACAGAGCTCAGCATGGGAACGTCCTGGTGCCCAGGTATGAAGAAGGGGAGCCCAGCAAAGATAGTGGTGCATTTGAGACAGTAGGGAATCTGAGATGGTGGTTAGTTGTTGATATTCCCTGCTTCCTCTAGGTCACCTATTCATTGCACTTGTACTCAGTGAATGGAAGACTGCGAGCTTCACTGCCCCTGGCAGAGCAGCCTACAGCCCTGGCGGTGACAGAGGACTTTGTTTTGCTGGGCACAGCCCAATGTGCCCTACACATCCTCCACATGAACAAGTGAGCCCCACCATATGCAAATTCATGGCCCCCACCGAGATGGTCATTGGCAGATGGTTATAGGGGGTGCCCCCTGTAGACCCATGTATGGTACATGCCTGTGTGTGCTACCTGTTCTCTCATTCCTCGTGGAAAGCTCTTTCTTTGGGCCTCCCTCAGCCACACAGTTGTGGGAGCTCCCTTTATGTATAAAGGTTTCAATTTAGCTATCCTTAAAATGAGGACACAGAGAGTATATGAAATGAGACATCCACTGGCTGGGTGTAAAGCCCCTTTTGTGAATTCCTTTATATGCTTTCCCTCTCTCCAGACTGCTCCCTGCAGCGCCTCCCCTGCCCATGAAGGTGCCCATCCGCAGTATTGCTGTCACCAAAGAGCTCAGCCATGTGCTGGTGGGCCTGGAGGATGGCAAGCTGATCGTGGTGGGAGCGGGGCAGCCCTCTGAGGTGAGGATAGGGTTGAGGGGCGGGGCTCCAATGGGCGAGGAGCGGCTGCCCTGGCTCACCCACCCTGCCTTTACTTGCACCAGGTGCGCAGCAGCCAGTTTGCACGGAGGCTGTGGCGGTCTTCTCGGCGTATTTCCCAGGTGTCCTCAGGAGAAACCGAGTACAACCCTGGAGAGGCACACTGAAACCCCGCTGCTACCCAGGACTCCGCCCTGTTGCCTGCCCAGGAGGCCCCCCTTGGCTCCGCCCAGGGGAGGGAGCGGAGGGCTCCGCCGCTCAGGGACTGGCAGTGGGACTGGCTCTGGGAGACTCCGCCCTCACCCTCCCTTGCTGGCTGAGGGACCGTGCGCGCAGCGCCGGCCTTTGGCCCAGCAGCACTTTTGCACAGTCTGGGGCAGGGGCTGCGGCTCCTGACCCCCCTCACCGTTCCCCGAGAGCACAGGACCGCTTGTGGCCTTAATCCCCAAAGGCGGCCCTGCTCGTCCCTTGTCAGCAATAAACTTGGCCTAGTTTTGTAGCTTTCGTCTTTGAGTGTGCATGTGCCCCGTGTCAGCGGGCTGTGGCTCAGGTCCCTGACAGCTATCTTCCGGCCCGACCCAGCCTGGCTCTCCCCTCCCTGTTCTGACATCCGCTGACTTTCCCCAGCCGGCCGTCCCTGTCCCTTGCGGCACCCTTATCCTCAGTTTGCCTTTGCATGCCATTCGCCAGCTCCAGCACTTCCTGTGCCCTCCGACTGGACTGTCCCCTTGGCCTGCCCTTACTGTAGTTGTCTCTACCCCCCAGGCCAGAGCGTGGCCTCTCTGGGTACTCTCCACTGTCTTCCCGCAGCCCAGGTGCATGAATTCGGAACCTGTATGTGGGGTGGGGGACAGTTCCACTCAGGCCAGGAAGGTGGGGCTGTGTCTTAGGCAGTAGGAGGGACCCAGGATTGCTGGTCCCTTAACCTCCATCCTGAGGTGGGCCTGTGCTGGGCTGTGTGTGGTAGAATAGGTAGTGTGGGTATGGGGGTTTGTTACATTGTTTGTGAGTACCTTGTGGACTTTAAGAGGCTGGTGGGGAAGTGGGAGAGGTTCTAATCTGGAGGCCCAGGGTAGTTGGGAGGATGCCAAGCCTGTTTGCTGCTCTGCCATGTTCGCAGGCTCATCCACCAAACAGGATTCTGAAAGGGGCCCCCAAGTGGAAAATGGCAGAACCTTACACATTGGATTGCTGACTTAGCCTTGTCACCTGCACAAGGCAGGGCAGACCCTCCAATTATGCAGCGGTGGATATTGCGAACTTGGAGGACCTTTCCCCTAAGTCTCTTCAGACTTCCTCTAAACAAGATCTCTTCCCCCATTGCCCTTCCAGAAGACCTCGGGGCTTTGTTCCCTAGATCTCAGGAAGTCGGTCCCAGCAGATTCAGCCTTTTAGGGTCCAGATGGTTCCTGGGACTGAGTGGCCCTGTGCAGGTTTCAGGCCTTCTCTGGATTCCCTGATGAGAAAGGGCCACAGGGAAACTAGGCCCACACACCCTATGCTTCTGTTGAGTTCACCAAAGTATCTTTCCATCCAATCCCTGGTCAGGAAAGGGCTGGACAGTGACCCTTCAAGACAGAGTAGGCTGAACAATCACCACAGGAAGTTCTCCTGCCTTAGAACCTTAAGGTGTTAGGTTCCTGTGCCCATGCCAAGATGTCTGGGTGTGAGCCTCCTACTGGCCAGTCCCTTTGGTCTTGATCTGGCTGAGATGGGGTCAGAGGGCATGTAACATTCCCCCTCCCCCACGGTGCTGGGGATGGGAAACCAGGGCCTTGTGCATGCTAAGCAATGCTCTACACTGAGCTACATCCTCAGCCCTAGTATGTCTCCTTTATCTTCCCCTACCATCTCTGGGCTCAGACCAGAGATAGGGTGGTTTCTCATCTGTCCTTTTCTATCCTGGGCTGTACCCTTTGGCCCTCTAAAGCCAGCTCTGTCACCTCTACCCCATCTGACATAGAAAAAAATAGCCCAATCCTCTAGTGAATCAGGATGGAGTGATCCAGAAGAGGGAGACAGGCTACTCCAAGGGCCTTTCTGATATCAAATCTAGGGATTTTCCCATATACCTGCACACAACCCTCTCTGGACTCAAGAGAAGCAGCCTTCCAGAGACCTGGCCTTGGTGCTGCCCACAACACTCCAACCCCAACAACAAAGGCCCAGGGAGCACTGCCAACTGAAAAGAGCTATGCTTCACAACTCCAGGCATAGCAAAGGCAAGGCCAATATAGGTAAGCATCCCTTGACCGAAGCTTAGGCACTGGGCAGGCTGGATGGTACCCTAGCTGGGTAGGTCACACAAGCACACCATTCCTTGTCTCCTATCTGTACTGGGTTGCGGGGATCACTGGCCTCTAGGCAGAAGAGAACACCACTATTTACTTCCCTTCCAGTTCCACTTTATTTTGCAATAATCTACAAGACCTGTTGTGCAGAGGCTCCTGTGGGGACCAACATGAATCCATATGCTCTTACAGACCAGACTAGTTAAAGCAGTCAGGATACAGTTTAGTCATAGTAGGGAGACAGAGGTGGAACAACTAGAGCCAGAAAAGAGATCAAGGAAGGACTCCAGAGTAGATTTCTGTCAGAACAGCAAGAGGAGGAGTGTGAAAACTTGAGAGAGCAGTCTCAGCTGGCAAACAAAGGGAGGCTGAAGATGAGGGTGAAAAAAGGTCCTGTCAATTCAATGCCATACTATGAGTTTGGGCTCTATTTTATAATTTATACACACACACACACACACACACACACACATATATATCTATATTTTTTTGGGGGGGTGGGTACCAGGGATTGAACTTGGCCACTCGACTACTGAACCACACCCCCAGCCCTATTTTGTATTTTATTTAGAGACAAGATCTCACTGAGTTGCTCAGCACCTCCCCTGTTGCTGAGGCTGGCTTTGAACTCAAGATTCTCTTGTCTCACTTCCCAAGTCGCTGGGATTACAGGCATGAACCACCATGCCAGGCTCTTAAAATGTATATATATTTTTAGTTGTCAATGGACCTTTATTTTATTTATTTATATGTGGTGCTGAGACTCGAACCCAGTGTCCCACACATGCTAGGCAAGAGCTCTGAGCTATGACCCCAGCCCTGGGCTCTATATTTTAAGGATTATTGTTTTCAGACCTTTTTGACATCAAGACGTAGGTGAAGCTGCCCAGGAACCCTAGCCTTGGATCCTCGCCACTGACCCTATTTTTCCTTTCCTCCACAGATAAGACCCTAAGAGGTCAGGACAGTGAAGGACTATGGGTAGGAACTGGGGGAGCCTTGGCCCCTAATACCTCCTCCTTATTCCCCGCTGAGGCTCAAGGGGCATCAGGCAGCATCATCCCTATCTACTATGCCCTTCTGGCCACTATGGTCCTCAGTCTGCTTGCCTAAGTGATCTTCAAGTGATAGGTGGTTTGGGAACTAGCCTGTGGCATCCCCTTCTATCTTGGTGAAGGAGGGAACAGGTTGGTAATCATCCCCTACTCCTCATAGCTGGCACTCATATAAGCAAAGATAGCAGCTGGCCAAAGCTCGAACTGCAGAGCTGGTGGGCTTCGACAGGGACCAGAGGCATGGCGATAACAGTATCTTCCTGGACTCTCCCAGTGGTCTGGAGTCCTGTGCCACCAATCAGGGTAAGCCCTTTCCTCACAGTCCTTTAGGCCTGTCTAATGCTGTTCCACCACCTGCCCATATGACCCTCATGACAGAACCACATCCTGACTTTGGCTGCCAGCTTTACCTTCATCTCCCTTAGCAGAGCAGGAAGAAGTGGAGTAGCTCCTGGAGGTGTGAAGCAAACCTGACAAGGGCTGGAAAGGCCTAGCAGGCTGCTGGGCTACCAGGCTAAGGCTGTGGAGATCACAGCCCAGGGCCAAGTGCCAGCCTATACTTTGCTGAGGGACTGGGCTGTCCAAGCAGGCAGCAGAGCTACCCTCAGGGTACTAGAGGATGTGCTGGCTGCCATGGGCCGTGAAGATGTGGTCCGGGTCCTGGGTCCCCCAGCTGAGGGCTGCTCTGTGGTGTGATTCACCACTTGCAGCCTGCTCCAGTGCTCCCCACCACTTCATGCCTTCACCTTCATGGGCTACCTAATGTTGCTGGCTTCCATCTGCTCTGTTCTGGGGGGATGGAGCAGCCATTCATTTCCCCTCACCCTACCTTTCAGGACAGGGACCGGGTTGTAGGGGAGCAGGCAGTGGGAAAGTGGTTGGTCCAGCCCTCTCAATCCCCACTCCGCCTTCCTTTTTGTAGCCTCAGCTGTTTTTTCTACTTTTGTATCCTTGATTAAAGACAACTTAGGAATTTTGAGCTGGTTTTGGTTCCTTGGGCCTGTGAGATAGTTGAGTGGCTATGAGGGAGAGGCCCAGTAAAGAGCTGGGGCAGCCTCTAGAATTAAGAGGACCTTCTCTAAGCAGCAACTGGGAATGGTAGACAGGCAACTCCCATAAAAGATGCATGGACTGGAATCCACACCCGGCATCTGCCTTTACTGGTTGTGTCATGTTGAATCACCTATTTTATCTTGCTAATTCTGAGCTTCCTTAGCTGAAGGCACATCTAGTAGGTCCCCACAAACCCTAAGAGTCCCAGGTTGGCACTGAAGGACCCTGAGTTTGAGATTATTTTCTTGATTTGTGCTGTAACCACCTGCAAGGGAAGGGTGAAGGCCTCCCTGACTAGACAGGAGGCAAAAGTCACAAGAGTCAGGCTGGTCCTAGGGATCTAGTTTTCAAGGATCTCAGGTCACCTCCAGAGAAGAAAAAGGCAGACAGGGCTCCATATAAGACCTGAACTCCATTCAAGAGATGGAGTTCCAAATAGGCTTCCACAGAAGCTCATGTGGCTTCTACACAAGTGGGCAGGCAGGCAGGCTCACAACTGAGGGGCAGTTCAGGACAGGCCTGCCCTCACATGCCCACCCTGCATGGAGGAGCAGGTAGGTTGGTTATTGTACCACCTGGGTGGGAGATGGGGAAACTTTAGAAGACAAGCCTTGCCTAGGAAGAGACAATGGCTAACATCCTGGCATTCACCAAAATCAGAGGGCTTCAGATCAATCCAAACTCACTGAGGAGAGTTGGGATCCAGATGTGGTCCAGTGGGACCCAAGATGGATCTTGTCCTCTTGCTGAACTGATATGGCTGGGACTGGCTGCTTTGTGAATACCAAATTAAGAGTGCTACTGCTTTTCCTCTTAAAGTTTACCAGGGCTACATAACACTCTGTCTTTCCCTTAAAAAAAAAAAAAAAAAACAAAAGGAAGTGCAGCATGTTTTATAGTCACCTTCATTGTGAAGTGATGCCAGAGCAAAAACTGAAAAAAGATTCAGACCAGTGTGCTAGAGACATCACATCCTACTTTAGTATGGAAACAGTCACAGGGCTAAGGAGGATTGGGTCAGGAATCACTAAAATTCTGCATTGAAGCAGAGTGCAATAGCCTCAGCAATTTAGCAAAAACCTATCTCAAAAAAAAAAAAA